GCACACTCTCCGTAAATACTGTGTGTATGGAATTTGCAACTTTAGGCGTTAGGCTTAGGTTTTGAGGTTAATATGTGTGCCATACTGCATTTGAATGTAATTAATGTTGGGCTGCATTTTTTTTTATTGAATTTTCTCTTGCGGTTCAATACAGACTGCATTTTTAGTTTTAATAAAAAATATTATCAAAACACTAAAACACCCAGATTCAATTTCACTCTAATTTCGAATTTAGTGCAGCCCTAATACACACCATTATTTGTTTGTATTCAAGAAATAATAATGAATATGAATATTTATGGTGTAATTCTGCACATTTTGCAGTTTGCCTGATAATTAAACATTTCCTATCAATATTAGAAAAAAGTTTTTTGTGGCTATAGTTTACATTTATTTCAAATACATTTCTAATATAATTTTGATTACCTTTAGGTGCTCTTCAGTGCAGGGATCAGAGTCAAAATGCTAAATATTTTAAGAATGGGCCACTCAAGAAGGATATTATTAAAAGCCTTTATTACCACATGGCAATTAAATTAAATATGGCAATTAAATATGTGGTGAATTTGGTTTGGATGCAGTTACTGGCACAGCCCTAGTCTGCTATTAAGAATGGGTCTACACCACATGTGCAGTGAAAGGTGACACGAAACAGCAGAGGCTGATTTGCGAATAACATTCAATAATGTCTGACCTATCTTTCTCTCATCTACCTGTCTCACACCTGCACTGTCCATGTCTCGCCTCTGACTCATCCGGGACCTATTGTTTGTCAGTGAGTCATTTTGTTTTCCTCAAATGTGTGTTTTGTACAGTCAAAGCAAGTATGAGTGATACACACTAACTATATGGGTACACATAGGAAACAACATACAGTAGAATTCATTCATTTTTCAAAACAAAATATCACTTTATTATGAAATATAGGAGTAGTAACACACATTTTCTCAGCTTTTAAGCAAATAAATAAACTAAATAGTACATTGAAAGGACTCCATGTAGTTTGCACCCTTACTTACTGTGTCTTACTTACTACTGGAGTACCCAATGTTGAAACCACAAAAAATAACTATGTATTTCTGTCAAACTAGTTCCAAGCTTTCAAAACTCTTTGCTTCTATCACTAGTTTTCCCCTGCATGCATTTATTTTGCCTCTGTAGATTAGTTTCAGCAGCTCTCAGTATGTAAATGTCGATAACTACATAAGATAATATTCAAATTCAAGTGATCTTTCCATCTCTACACAATCTAGATATTCACAGCTTAAGAGACATACAGTAGTGGGGAAATCTGCAACTACACATTAAATGTCGCTTTAAGAAATATACATTAACTACAACAACCAAACCAAACGCATTTAGTTCACACAGTGGGGGTTAGGACAGCAAAGGGGGTGTGGGCCAGTGCGTGCAACGGCACGCCACGTCTACGTTCAAGAGATCACAGCTGAGTGGGAAAAGGATATCAATCATTTTTAATAATTTATAAAAGAACCTGCCCATCTGCAATATCATAAGCTTCGATCGACTGTATCAGGTTTGTGCATGTCCTACATCAGCAAGAGGGAAAAAGACCTTGTGCCAAATGCTTTCTGGAAACTACCCGAGCACTTTGATAGAGACTTTAATGTTTTAGGGAGGAGACAAACTGACCTGACTGTCCATAAGCTACTGTCTGAACAGATGGACGAAAATCAAGAGAAGTAACCTGAGTTGGACATGTACTGTATAGTATATATAGTGGAAACAGCAAATGTACATATGCATCATGAATTTAATTAAGATAAGATAAGATAAACGTTATTGATCTCACAACGGAGAAATTTACATGTCACATTTGGCATGGATAGAAACACTCAGATTGTGCAAAAGACAGAAGTGTGCAAACATGTTAAGGTTCAAAATATAATCTGTGCAGGATAAATTATGTACATTAAAAAGTGGCAATAGCAGTGCTGTTTTTTTCAGTCCTAGCGCAGGTCATTAGTGACTTAAATGACTTATTGTACAGTCTGACAGGAGTGGGGATGATGGCCCTGCAGTGAGGCTCCCTTCTATTGTGTATTAAATTATTCCATTGCAACAGGATTGAGAGGAGATTATTTGGAATTATTGATATTACTTTATCACAGAGTTAAACATTATAGTGAGCGGTATCTACAGTTTACACAGTATATAGCACTTGCCTTCAAAGTAATAATAATAATAATACATCAAACTTATATGGCGCTTTACAAAACAAATGAAATAAATATAGAAGAGCAAAAATAAGGAAAACCCGAGGTGAAACAGGTGGGTTTTGAGAAGTGGGAGTGAGTTCCAGAGAGTGGGGGCAGCTGCGCCGATAATAATCAATGATTATTCTGATAGTTGATTAGTTGTCTGTGAATATGGGATTTGTGAGTAGACTCAACAAAAACGAATCCAAAATTATGCGACTCGAGAACATATGTTTAAACAATGTCCTGTTATTCTGCAATAATTATTATAGCTTACTTTGGGAGTCATAAAAAATTCTTCAGAATATACAACTTTTATTTTGCATTATTTTGCAACCATTTATATAATCAATTCACTTTTTACAGCTATACTTCAAGACAATACAACTGCATCCATACTGTAGTACCTTAAGATAAAAGGGGACAGTGTTGTTGCACTACACTGAGTGATAAGAAGGAAGGGAACATGGGGCAACTCTACACCTCAAATACCTCTCCTATCAGACCCATGAAGTTGGTTAAAAAAAAAAAACTGACCGATCCGAGTCAGAACCCCAAACGTTTTAATGTAATCGGACAGGTTCAGATAAGACTAAGCACAATGGGAACACACAGGCCTCGGCCATGGGACCGTCCTGCAGAGACACATGGAGAGGGCTGTTGTGGCTGCTGCTGCGGGGAGAGCGGTGCATCTCAGGAGGGTTATCAGGGACGACTAGTGTTACACCAATGCTTGAGAAACATTCCCAAGTCCTCACTGGCCCAAAAGGAGCACCTGGGCATGTGTTTGGGGTTTGAAACAAGCACAGGACATAATAAGCCTTTATCATGGTATATAATCTATGATGTGTGAAATGGTCTACGCAATCAACTACATTTTCTTATCAGGATTTTATCATCATTATTCTCAATTCCCACTTTTTTACAAACCGGTTTAAGTGAAAACATATGCAAAACCTGTGTAGATAGTCCATTAAAATATATTTAACAAAATAGATAATAATTACTTTGTAGAAAAACATAAGAAAATATGTAATAACAATGAAACAAAATGTATCAATGCTCTTCTCTAATCTCATGGTATTTCCTTTTCAGAGATAATTCATTTTTATCATTCTATGGTAATGTGTCTGACTTTGGACAGTTGTGGGGAAGCAGTGGGTAAGGCGATGGATGTGGTTATTCTGTATGTAAAGATCTGCTGTTGGACTGCTGCTAGGGCTGAACGAGAGAAATAGCCATGCACAATGGTTTAGATAAGATCTCCATAAAAAAAATTGCTTGCTTTTAGCTTATGGAATTTTCAGTGATCCTTGTTTTAGAGCTCAAATAAAAATATAATATGATAATATATTGTCAGCTGAATAATTACAATCTTCAATCAAATTTTGATTAAGCGATCAGACCTGCCTGCTACTGATGAATATTCCTTGTGCCCACTCTTGTAAAAGAATGTGTTTTTGTAGAAGCCCATTTAGGTGTGATTTTGTAGTGTTTGCATACAGTCTAATCTTTAACTTCTAAGAACAAAGTCTGCCTCTGTAGTGACTGAGGAACAGTCAAGAATTTCCCATGCATGACCTTCAAGTTGAACTATGCAAAACAAAGAATGCAAACTTGTAGTTTATTTACAGCTAATGGAAATGAGTAGTTATCCATATTAAAGTATGTCAGAACTGCATGCAACATGTTCCTTCTGTTTTTGTCTTTTAAATGCATTACATTTGCAGTTGCAATTATAAAGTACAGCACCAATGGAAGAAAAGCAAAAACAGATTGAAAAAAATTTCCCAGTACTCCTCCAGTTGCAATCTTCAACATGTTTTGTTCTTGTAAATAAAATTGAAAGAATTTGCTCAAGAACCCCAACTCGAACCCTTTCACATATATTGCTAATGACACTTCCACAACTAATCAGATAATCTTAAAAATCACTTATCGCTGCAAGGCCAGATTGATTTCTTCTCCAGGAGAACTGCCAGTCTTTACACAGACGTGGTCATTTACGGCAGATAGAAACCCACAAATCATCAACAACAAAAGGAGCCTAGAGTTGTGCGGGTGCCCTCCCGATGGCACGTTTTATTACCTCAACCGACCACTTTCAAACAATTCATTTCTTACACAAAAGCAGCTCAACCAGATCTTGCCAAGAGCCCCAAGCAAACTGTGGAGTCAACACTGGCAGAAACCAGTCCATATTCATCAAAGTTTTACAGTAAATGAGGACAAATTCAGTTCGATCTTATGCATTAAAGGTCATCTGCAACATAATGAGCAATAAGCTATAAGACTATGTGACTACAATTGGACTTTGAAAAATTGTCTTAGCTCTAAGCTGTGGTACCTAACTTTTTCCATAAAACATTTAGTTTGTCCCAACAGAAAGAATCATTGTTTACTGTTTGACTCTTTGAACTGAGAGCTGATTGGTAGAGTGAGAATGGCCCTCTCTTTTTCACAGAGGCCAAAAATACATGTATGTGCATGCAATTCAAACTATTTAGAAACGGTTTTGAGAATTAGGATCTAGTTAGGAGAGATTGAATTATATAGTTAAATTGCTTGTGGTTTGAAAGTTAGGTTCCCCAGCTTTAATTATCTTATGGCAGCCAACTATTTTATTTGATAATAATAATCACATCAAGCACAGCACCAATATTTTGATGTTCAGAGGAAAGCACCACTTTCTTTCCACTCAACATCAAATTAGTAAAAACATTTCTCTGCTAACATATAAAAGTCAACTAATTTTTATAATAGAATACACGTAACCCTTACCTGTTACAGAGATTTTCATGGGGGCCTCCAGAGCTCTGTCATTGTCCAGATCCCGACTTAGCTTCAAATCTCCCGTGTGTTCGTTCAACAAAAGTAAACTCAACTCATTTCCAGATATGAATTTGTACTTCAGTCTGTCCGCCACATCTGGATCATGAGCAGGCACCTTCCCAATAATCCCAGACGGAAAGCTGTTGGATTTGTTTGTGACGTAGTTGTTGAAAAGAATCTCAAAATCTTGCAGTTGTGGTCTGTTGTCATTGAGGTCCACCAAGCATATATGGACAGTGGCCCGACTGACCAAGGGGGCAGATGTGGCTTGCACGACAATGACATACTCTTTCTTTGTCTCGTAATCCAAATCAACTAGGGAAGTGAGATCGCCATTGAATAAGTCTAATTCAAAAACTTGTGGGAAATTCCCTTCTACAATTTGATACATAATTTGAGCATTTGTTCCTTCGTCCGGATCAGTTGCAGTGATCTTAGCCACCACAGATCCAACCGGGCTGTTCTCTTCCACTTTGATAAACAGCTCATCTTTCTCAAAAACTGGCGCATTGTCGTTGATATCTTTGACATCGATGTGAATATTTACATCTGTTTTGAGCGGAGGGGTGCCTTTGTCCACTGCGAATGCTCTCAGGTTATAGACTTGAACATTTTCCCTATCAAGTTTTCGGAATGTTCGAATAATTCCAGTTGATCCCTCAATGTAGAAATCTCCGTCTCCATCATCTCCACCAGCAAAGGTGTACGTCACTCGTCCATTTAAACCTGAATCTCGATCCGACGCCGATATTTGAAGAACGCTTGTGTAGACCGGAGCATCCTCAGGTACACTCCCTTGATACATGTCCCGGAGAAATTGCGGTTCATTATCATTCGCATCCTGGATCATGACATCAACGTGTGTCATGCCAGACTTCTGAGGAATGCCATTATCTTTAGCGATGATGGCTAAGGTGTAAGATGCTTGGTCTTCATAGTCGACTTCCATTTGAGTGGTTATAACCCCAGTGTCTGGATCGATCTTAAACTGAGGAACACTATCCTCCATCATATAAGTGACACGGGCATTTTCACCTGTATCCTCATCAGTGGCAGTGATGTTTATTACTGCCGTCCCTATGGGCTTGTCCTCGCTTAACATCACCTGGTAGTTTGTGTTTGGGAAGATTGGCGCGTTTGTGTTGGCATCTGTAACATTGATATACACTTGTGTCGTATCATATTTCGTGCCATCACTTGCTGTAACCGTAAGTACGTATTGCCGTTCTTGTTTGTAGTCAAGAGGCAAAGCTAGTGTTATGAGACCTCCTCCACTTTGACTCGTGATCGCAAACCGATTTCTCGTGTTGCCACTGGAGATCTGATAGGTCACTACGCTGTTGACGTCTCGATCTATCGCCGTCACAGTCACCACACTTGTCCCCACTATTGCGTCTTCATTGATTTTATGCGAGTAAACTTCTTCAGTAAAAGTTGGTACATTGTCGTTAACGTCTAAAACTGTTATGGTAATGCTAGCTGAGGAGGACATAGATGGTACACCGTGATCTCTTGCCTCAACCCCGAACGTATAAAACTCTGTTGTCTCTCTGTCTAATTCCTCATTGACTGTAAGCCAACCAGTACTATTATTGATTGTAAAGGGAAATCCCGGAGTTGTTCCAGTTAACCTATATTCCAAACGTGAATTTTCACCAGAATCAGCATCATTGGCTTGTATATGTATTACTGAGTGACCAATCGCAACATTCTCTAAAACACTAGCTTGGAAAGGGGTGCTAACAAACATTGGGGCATTGTCGTTTACGTCCACAACTCGGATTACAACCATCCCTGTGACATTTATAAGAGGCGGCCTGCCGCCGTCTTGGGCCTTGATTCCCAAACTGTATTCTCTATTGGTCTCATAGTCCAGTGGGTTTATCACATCTATGACACCAGTTGGAGAATGAATGTAAAACTGCCCCCTCACATTGCCTCTAATGATGCTGTAATGAACTTTGGCATTGTTTCCTTCATCTTTATCTGTAGCTTCAACCTGGATAATTTTAGTATTAACCACAACATTTTCTGGGACCTGGACAATATATTTCTTTTCACTGAACTGTGGGAAGTTGTCATTCTCATCTTCAATATCAATGTAAACAATAGCAGTAGCTGTCAGAGGTTTTGGATCTTTTCCTTGATCATTGGCTTCAACAATAAGTGTATACTGGGATCTGCTCTCCCGGTCTGGTTTTTCTCTTACCCTAACCAAGCCATTCCGAGAATCAATTTCAAAAACAGAGCCAACTTCATCCTCGTTCATTATTTTGTAAATCATGTTTGCATTTGAGGGAGAGTCTCCATCTGTGGCCCGAACTGTCATAACTTCAAAACCAACTTCCATGTTCTCTCTAATGGTAACGCGATATTGGGTTTGTTCAAATATTGGACTGTGGTCATTTGTATCACTAACAGTAACAGTGAGGAAAGAGGTAACTGATCTTTTAGGAGTGCCATTGTCATTGACTGTAACTTTGAAAACATGGGTGTCTTTGAACTCCCTGTCCAGAGCTTGAAGCGTGGAAATGCTGCCAGTTTGAGAGTCAATGATGAAATAGTCGTTGGACCTGCTGTCAAACAAGGCTTCCATGGTATACTCCAGCCTCCCCGCCTCTCCATCATCTGGGTCAGTGGCTTTGAGTGTGATCACGCGGGTCCCAGCGGGCTCGTTCTCCGGCACAGACACCTGATAGCTGGGCAGCTGGAACTGGGGACCCGTGTTTATCTGCCGCTTGTCTCGGTGCAACACGTTGACATGCGTTTGGACGGTTTCAGGCCAATATCCATCAGAGACCAGAGTTAGAGAGAGTAGCACGGACAACCTCTCTCTCCGGCGGCTGCGGAGCGCGCACTGCATGAGGACTTCTCTGCGCCCAAAACAAAACTCACCGGCCAAGAACAAGCTCGCATTCCGAAACAATAAAGGCAATTCTTTATCGACACAGACAGAGTCGGAGAAGTCTATATTGTGCATAAAAGTTGGTAGCAATTCTGTGACATTTAGAAGCAGTTTACCTGCGCGTAAGCAGGAAGTTGGCTCCTGTCTTGAAAAGTGTTTAATTCTCAGGTCCTGTCTGCCCAAGGAACTCTTTCTCTTGTATTTAATATAACAGTCTTGTCCATGGACAAACACGTTAAAACGTGTCATAACGATATCTTCAGATGACAAGGAACCTGTCGCAAAGTACACAGAAGCAGGGTTCGTCAACGTGGGCGCGCACAGAGCGCTGCGAGACAGGCGGACAATCCCATCGTGTTTTCCTATTTCAATTAAGTTTTGAAGAAACGCGGGAGTTAAAGTCCTGTCCAGTTTGTACATCCATCCGGGACCAAGTGACAAGTTTGCCAAAATTGTCCCAGGTTGTAAAGTATCCGAGATGTGTATTTCTAAAGCAAACGGTGCGCTGAACAAGGCACTCAACCATATCCAATATATTGATAGTTCCATGCTTGTTACCCAACAAACTCCTACAAAAGTTGAAGAAAGTCATCCGAAAGAGCGTTAACTCTCCCTCCTCCAGCACCGAGAGTCACTTTTGTTCCTCATTGTAAAGTTTCACAGTGGGAAAAGTCTCCGTGTATCCATAGTGCCATGTATCCAGAGTGCGCAGCGGCTGCGTTTACGGAGTTTAAAATGAGCACAAAATGGCTCCGCGACGCTGGGCTCCTGGTCTCCTCCGCCTCCTCCTGCTGCTCTCCTCCTCAGAGCCTCAGAGGCTGATTACCATAAACCTGCTGCGTCCCCCTCTGGGACGCTTTCGCAGGGGGGCACTTTTATTTCTCATGGAGATTTAGGAAGTGGTGCTGACCGGGTGACCAATGCACGCACTATTGTTATTAAAACAGAGAGAGAGTGAGAACGATGCCGAACGCACGTTTGATACACGCTCCTTTTATCTCTTGTGTGCTAATGTTAAGTGTCAAAATAGTGACAACACAGACACAAACATAAGGAGCAATGTTATCAAACTTTTCACCTCAGAACTGGTTTCCCCATGAAACAGTGCTGACTTCTAAATACACAATCACACATTTCTGCGTTCAACTTAGTTAAATAAGCTTGACCAAGCAAATGTTAACAATGATATACTGAATTACACGTCACATTGATGTCCTTCATGTGTTTTATTCAATAAATAAAGAATCCTTTATCAAAAAAGTTCGCTTCATCGTGCGCTTGCGACGCATACTTCCATCGCTCCTATAGCGCCTCTTAGTGGAGTTCTACTGTAGTGTAAGTATTTATAACCCATCCATTACACAAAACAAGGCTGGACACGTTAATCAGAGCACAAACGACTTTATTTAGTTCTACCGTTTTTTTTTTTTACTTAATCACGTATGAGAAGCCCTAATTTATTATCTTTTTAACAAGATCTAAAAGGTTTGCAAGCACTTTATTTTCAATTGTGCAAAATTAACTAGTTCTGAGACTCATTATGAACTTAATTTAAAATCAAACAAAAGAAACAGAAATAAATATTTGGACATGGACTCACTCTTAAAAGTATTTAATTTGAAACATCATCTATCTGCGTCCCCAGACATCATATCACATATTTATAACAATGTTAATGGAGGTTTATTCTTCATTTTAATAACAATGGCAATATGGCCATGACTATTGTGTATCTGAAGATGAAGTATCACACATGTCATTTGGGTTGCCAATTTATTTGCTTAAATCCAGCTGGTTTTGGTAACCAGTGCAGGGTAAGTTACTTTGAAAAAGTTTTTAGATACATTTACACAATGTTACTTTACTAATTACTTTCTAAAAAAATTAATAAATTAAATACTTGTTAGAGATTCAAGAAAGTTTCATTATTGTATTCATTACTTTTGAAATAGAATTTTAATGAATCATAAGTGCCTTGTTTGAAAAAAGATTTTTACAACACCAGTAAAGGGTAAACACTACATATGGTTCTCTTAAATGCAGCTTTTGAATCAAGATAAAGAAAAACATTTAGCATCACCCAGGTTTTTAAAAATACCAAAAGAAATAGGTTAAATAACTTATGCAATTAGGTTCAAGCACATGGTAGAAGTCCTTAGTAGCCAAGATCGTTTCAAATGTTACAACAAGGATGCCCCGGCCACTGCTCAGGACATTTCGCTAACATGCATTATAGACATGTTGTCCTGGAGCCTATGCTAATTTTAGATTCTAAGGCACTTAAACTGGCTCCACTGGCCTTAGGACAGCCAGAGACCACAATGCACCATGATGGTTTCCGGAACACTTAACTTCAGCTCACCGGCTTGTGACTCGGCTCTTTGAGCTGTGCGGCCGCTGACAGCCGCTCTCGACCCCGCTGCAGAGTAAACTGACTGGGACCCAACAGAAGGATCTTCCCACTGCCCAAGCACTCATCGCCTTTGTACAACACTGCAAACTGCAAAAGGAGAATAAGATGTTGCCGGCACATTTTAGAAGCAGGAATGCTTATTTGTAGTTTACCTGTCCTGGAGTCAGAGCTCTGACTGGTTCAGACAAAGAGATCCATACAGTACCGTCCATGTTCAGAGTAACAGTGCACTTGACTGAAGGAATAAACAAAATAAAAACCTTGTGATGTATTACATGCAATATTGGTGTCAAGAAAATCACTTACCAAGTGGCATCTGATGAATAAAGCGAAAATTACACTGCATCATTTTGGCCTGAATCAACTCTCGAGGCGGCTCTGTCGTGATCCAATTAAAACGATCCGTCTTTATAGTATCCCGGAAAAGTGCAGGGTGATTGGTGGTTGGAGCCTTAATGTAAACACAAAGAAGTCTCAGACTTGAACATGCATAAGCGACTATGATAAACCAGCTTTCTTCACTGTGTACGAGTTTACTTTCTCACCACCATAACATCTCCTGTAACTATGTCTTTGTCTACAACAAACCAGGGGTCCTTCTGGCCTCCTATTCTTGCTCTTTGTCCCAGAGTTAAAGTAAACCATCCTAAACAAAAGGAAAAAAAACATTATTTCTGTAAAAAATATATTACAGCGTCTGAAGTGATTGGAATTCCTCCCAATTCAGCATAAAATTACCATCACGTGACCTGTTCTTTCTTAAAATCAAACAAATGAAAAAACCTTTTTAAGGGTGTGAACATACACAATAACAGAAGGGAAAAGAGTAAGTAACGGACATACTGATATACTTTCTAACATTGGCTGCAAGAACTTCAACCAGACGCTTTGCCAGTAGTTCTGTGGAGTGTCCATATTTTTTTAGTCAGCAGTGGTCGGAGTTCTCCCAGAAGCAACATTCTGGGCCAGTGTAATACATATAGTTGATGAACAGAGATGAACAGTTGATGAACAGAGATTTGCAGAGAATACTGTGCTGGTGATTTCTGCATTTCTTCAGCAGACACCTGAAGACCTCTCGGAGTATTCCCCCCTTAAATAGTCCAGTCATTTTGCTGGACCACCCACTCCCACCACTTGGGAGAGAAGCAACAGTGCCAGACTTTCTCCATTGGTAGACACTTTCTAGAGTGGATTAATGAACGTCCAGGCTTTTAGAGATGTCACTGTAACCTTTCTCAGCTTTATATGAATACATTTTTTTAAATGTAATCCTCACTAATAATAGGACAACCTACAATATATGTGGTTTAGCGTCATCACTGGATGGTGATTTAATGCAAAAATGTGAGAAATTCCAAACGTTGTAGATTTTTTACAGCCAATGTATGCATCAAAATCCCTGTAATTAGCTAACCTTTATGCGTTCCTTTTATTGAACCATCTTCAATAGATACAAAGTTTCCAGGTTTAGGCTCAATATACTGTAACAACATGTTTACATTTCGCATAACAAATGTTTATTTGTGGATAAGTTGGTCAATTTTTCAGTGTGTGTCTTCCTTACCTCCAAAATAAACTTTTCAAAGTTCCTCTCACCAATAAAACAGATCCCCATGCTCTGTCATCAAATCCACAATTAGATAAACTTTCATTTCATTTTCATCCCTTTGTATCTATAAACTATAATGTACGATAAAAACACATTTCCTTCACCTCTTTTTTCTTGAGTACATTGTGGAGACCAGCTTCAGCAGCTATTTTTCTGACAAAGTCTTTGGTGAGTCCAGCCAGAGGAAAGATGGTGTGTCTTAGAGCCTCTTGAGAGATTTGGCTGAGAAAAAACGTTTGGTCTTTGAAAAGGTCTGCTCCTTGATGCAACCGAACAGCTGCACATGAGAACAATTTATATAGCAATCTGATACTTCCAATATATTATATGATCACAAAATAACATCCATACGATTTCTGATCTCAAATCTGTCCCTGAACAGTTTGGTTGAAGGAGAATACATTTGATGAAATACTTCTTCATCTTCTTGGGATGTCCTGGCATAATGTCCAGTTGCCATCGCATCAGCACCTGCCACACAAGAAAGTCAACAATTTGAAATAATGCCAATAGTTTAGTAATTGCGGAATGGTTTATAAAGAAAACAAACATACCCAAAGTGTCCATTGCATATTTGTAGAAATAGTTAAACTTGATATTCTTATTGCACATAATATCTGGATTTGGAGTTCTTCCCTTCTGGTATTCTTTCACCAAATTACTGGGAGAAGGAATTAAAATACAAAAAATCAATACACTATTCAGTCAGAGTTAAGCTGTGTTCCCACCGGATCATGTGTTTCAATTCAAAGTCAATGGTGACGTTCGCCCATGCGAGGAATTGCATGTACATCGCGGCATGCACTTTAATCCCGGGCGGCAGAGGCGCTGGGTACGGCGGCTAGATGCATGCGGCGAAAGCAGATGAGATTCACTGAACATCCTCGCTCCACGCACGTGCGGAAACCAATCAGAGAGCAGCAAAGTGGTCACAGGGACACAAGCCGGGTCAAAACAGGAAGATGAAGACACTCTAAAACAACCAAAGCATGAGCTAAGCCAGAATTAAAGCAGGGCTGACAATGGGGGACGCAGTGCTTGTGAACATATGTCTTCACCCTGAGTTGACAAGTGCTGCTAACGTGTTCGCAGATATGAAGGTGCCATGGATCTATTATGGAAGTACCCATCACTTCCACCCTGCGTGTTTTCCCCAACGTAGGGCAGTACATCAGATTGACTAAACTCATGCGGCTGATATTTAGTGAAAGTGCGTCCATGCCTCCATCAACGCTCGTCCATGCAGCAGTAGTGGGAACACAGCTTAAGAGTCACAATGGGGTAATATAGGATTTAGTGAGCCACCAAAGCAAGTCATCCCGCTTAAAAAGTCGAGAGATTCTTTTTAAGTTTCAATATCGTATTCCTCAACTATGAGAGACGAAATAAGAACAAAACATTTTTTATTTGTCATTTCTTGATCTATTTGCAAATCATGGGGGAAAATAAGTATTTAGTCAATAACAAAAGTCCATCTCAATACTTTGTTATATACCCTTTGTTGGCAATGACAAAGGTCAAATGAATTTTGTAAGTCTTTACAAGGTTTTTACACACTGTAACTGGTATTTTGGCCCATTCCTCCATGCAAATCTTTTCTAGAGCAGTGAAGATTTGGAACTGTTGCTGGGCAACAGTGTTTAACTCCCTCCACTCTTTCACTCCCGGCAGTGTGTGTGGAATAGAATCATTGTCATGCTGAAAGACTCCTTTCATCTTCAAAACCCTTGTTGATAGGAGGGGTTCACTCAAAATCTCATGTAATTTCCAAATTTTCTTTCTCATTTTTGTCTCTCATAGATGAGGTACACCTATGATGAAAATTACAGGCATTGCTCATCTTCCTAAGTGGGAGGACCTGCACAATTGGTGGCTGACTAAACCTTTTTCCCAACTGTAGGTCAACTACAGGGCAAACAAAATAAAGTGGAACAGAAAACACTTTGATATTGTGTACATGCTTTGATTTTGTGTAACATTGATACTCACGTAAAAACCTCGTGCCAGTACTCTTTGACAAAGGACACTTGGTGAAAAGGGATGTCCAGAGTTTGACATACTTTGTAGGCATCTTCACAGTCCTTGTCTGAGGTACACACGCCTGACTCGTCCAAAGAATCCCAGTTCTTCATAAACACTCCAGTCACATTATATCCTTAATAGATTATTTGTACATTATTATGTTTGTTTTTTTAATAAAGCAAGGAGTAAGTATTTTAGTCTGAAGTCATAATGAACAGTATGGACAATGCCTCTACAAAAAATAGGCCCTACGCCTAAAGCAGTGTCTTAGCCTGGAAGTAGAGGACACGTACCTCTGTATTTTTGACAAACCAAAACTATGGTACTGAACCCTAATGTTCCACTAACAATTATTTTGAAAACGATTAGTTGGATGTTAATTCAAATGTGAAAGCCTAGTAAATGTGGGACTTTTTCAATTATCAACATAAAAACAAAGCTAATATGATGCCACAATTGAGTCCATCCCTTTTTAGGCATTTTACAGTAGTTATTAAAGTCAACAGACCTCTACACATCATCGTTATATCTGTTGATTGATATATTAGTTGACTATTAAAACTACCTAACTGTGATTAACTTGTGACTGCCTGACCACTGTGATACCTGTGATACTAAATAACCATAAGACAGCACATAACAATGTAGTAACTGATTATCTAACTTAAAGCTAGATTAGCATAACATTGTAAACAGAAAACGTTTACAATTTATTTCCAGGAAACAGATTAGACATGTTTTTGTAATGCTAAATCAAAATCTTACAAATCAAAGAAAACTAAATAGTGTTTTGATGTTCGCTCACCTCGCCTCTTCAATAACAAGGCAGCCACAGAGCTGTCAACACCTCCGGACACGGCACACACCACGCACCGAGCGAGTCCCATCCTCCCACCTTAACTCTTAAAACTCTTACAAACTCTGCCCTCACACCGAAAAGCCCATAGACCGCAGAAAGACAAATACAGTCTATGTTCGAGTCAAATATCATTTTGAACGACGGCGCATTTGGAGCTTGAGGGAAGCGCCATGTTTGTGTACGTCGGTTAAAAATGTCCGTGCAGAAACATAACATAAAAAATCGTGCACGTCCATTTGCACAGTAGTGTTGTTTGAGAATTGAGACACTGGTAAGGTAATAACTAAAATGTTAGACTTGGATGGGCTGTGCCAATATACAACTGACCATACAGGAGATAGTTAGGTACCGTTCTTTCAATGCATGTTCTAATCCTAATCTAAACAATGGGGCTCAGTGTGATCCTAGGGTGCAAATATTAATTGTGAGGCATGCTCTGCACGTTTAACTTTGGACCGTGCATTAAATTTAACTGCATTAGTTTCAATAGTACGGAGAACAATGTCACCTGCGCTGATTCGGAAAAAAATAATATTGCAGTTAAAGCTGGGATACCTAACTTACGTAAATGTAACACTAATGAAATTCATTGCTCCTTACACTTCTATCACTTCTATCTATAGACTGTATATACATGCATGTGATAGAAGTGTATGTATGGCTTCTGACACATCTTTGGATTGGCTTTTACAGTCAAAAGTGGTAAAGCGAATACCACCCTCACAGCCATCAGCTCTCAGCCCGAAACGGCAAATAGTGACTTACACGGCTCTTTCTACATGCATTCACAAGATGTTTATAAAAACAATGTCTTAGAAAAATAAAATCAAAAAAGCACTTTGCTTGCCTAATCACATAATGTTGCTTTTACAAGACTTCTATTGAAACAATAACTATAACTATATGTCGAAACTATGGTTTTAAGTTATTGCAATAATAATAATTGGCTTAATGGTATTTTAGCCATATTACTGTACTTCAAATTGAGTAGACATTTCATTTTAATGATGTCAATGGATTGTTTTTATATTTACGTTGTCAAGTCTAGATAACAACATGAAGCAAGTGTCTGCTGATACAGTGACTCTGGAAATACTCAGAAAAGCCCAAGAAGTGGTCAAAGGCAGCCCCCTGGGTGTGATACAAACTCCCATGATCCCCTGGGCGCAGACCACACTTCCAATGAGCGTCAACTGCGACATCCACATCAAATTGGAAAACATGCAGAGAACCGGTGGGTATCAACACCAAAATTGCCCAAAAATAACAATTGTAAACCGCTTTGTGACTCTGGTCTGTGAAAGGCGGTATATAAATAAAGATTACTTCCTTACTTACTTACTTAGTAACGTTAAGTACAGCGGAACTGGCTCAGAACATCATGTTATGTGTAATGGGGTTCACAGGCTCCTTTAAGATCCGAGGTGTTGCTCACCAGTTTGCTCAAAGACAAGCAGGAGGTCCTTTTGTCACAATGTCGGCAGGGAACTATGGGAAGTCTTTTGCCTATGCTTCAAAGCATTATGGGACTAAGGGGAAAGTGGTGATGCCAGACACAGCACCATTATCACGGTCCATTTTAATACAGGTAAGGATGTCTTTATCTTGTTGTAATATTTCAAATGCAAATGTATGTATTTAATACAAACCTGTGATTAACAATTATTTCGATAATTAAGGAATCTAGTGATTATCCTTTGATTGATCAAATTGTTGTTTAGAACATGGATATGTGAGGATTTTTCTCTAAATTTGACACAGAAGTTTAAGTGAAACCATTGGAAAACATTTTAAAAAGGGAGACACTGTGACCTTTCGCTTCTCAGCAAAAAGGTCCTGGGTTCGAATCTTGGTCGGAACAGGGCAACTATGCAGCTTATATAGCGATGCAGCTAAAATGTGTATTGTGGCAGAGTTTATGAACAATTATTTTAGGTGCTATAGGATACTCGTTTATTGTGAATGAGTACCAGAATGGAAGCTAACGGTTAAGACCTCGTGATAAATGATGCTAGGATCAGTTCAAACAGTCATCTATCTGCTACATTACAACATTAAACCTGGAGGCTTATATTCAGGTGTGGCCTTTATATGGAGAAAATATACTTTCTTTCAAATATAGCTGGTGTTGCTTATACACAGGTGCGCCTTGTGAGTACGTTCATCTATTACAAAAATATTGATTAAAGCTCTGATTTATGTTCTAATGTATGCTCTAATTTCTATCTATTATTTGCTTTGTCATACTTCCTTGATTGTGTAATACTAATGATCATGATTATTGTAGGTAATTATACCATATACCATACCAATTACACCATACCAATGCTATTAGGAAACTATACAACTGCAAAGATAAACGTTCTGGCCAAACATTTGTTTCCAGAGTTTTGGTGTCGATGTTGAGAGAGTTCCGACTCCCTGTCTGATGAATGTGGTGAACCGTTGTGTTCAGGAGGAAAACATGACATTTTTGCACTCGTATGATGATCTGGATCTCATAGCTGGACATGCAAGGTACTTGAATTATAATATAATACTGCAGTAAATTGGTTAGTTTTGTTCAGTTGTGTTCTGTGCCCAGTCTTGGCCTGGAGGTACTGGACGTGCTGCCGGACCCTGATGTGGTGGTGGTGTGCTGTGGTGGAGGAGGCTTGTTGGCCGCCGTAGCTGCTGCCACTAAACTGTCCGGATGTGAAAAGACCAAGATATACGGTGTAGAGCCAGAGGGAGGTCAGGGATAAACCAGGATAATTGTATTTTCTCATTTTTTATGATAACTGGGGTCATTATTTCCTCTCATTTCAGCCTGTACCATGTTCCAAAGTTTAATTGAGAAGAAACCAGTGGGTATGGATACAAAGAGTATAGCATCAGGACTTGCACCACCATTTGCGGGTAGGAGTTGGGCAAAATATTTGATAATGAATAAGATCTAACTTCTGGTCTTGCTATAAACTCTTAAAAGACTAAAGTCATCAATAAAAACTCCAGAATGGTTTGACTGGAGACAGAGTAAAGTTGATATTATAGGTTTTTATGATATGGGCGGCACAGTGGCTGAGTGGATAGCACTCAGCAAGAAGGTCCTAGGTTCGAATCCCGGTCGGAAGTTTACATGATCTCCCCGTGTCTGCGTAGTTTTCCTCCGGCTGCACCGGTTTCCCCTATCACTACAAACATGTACAATAGGTACATGCGCCTCCTGCACTGTCGACCCCGCTCCCATCTATGTGTGGAGTGGGAGACAAATGCCCACAATTGCAAAGCACTTTGCGACTCTGGTCTGTGAAAGGTGCTATAAAAATAAAGATACTTAGAAAGGCCCAGAAGAGATTGTACTTACTGCTGCAGCTCAACCAGCTGCACAGATGTTGGTGCCGTTCTGCAGTTACCATCAAGGCCATCCTCCCCTCCTCCATCACCGTGTGGTCTACTGCAGCCCTCCATCGCTGCAGGACCTGTACATCGCCCGAACTTAAGGGTGTGCAGGTCGGATCGTAGCCCACTGTTCTCACTCTGCATATGGACTATTCGAGTCACTCCCACTCCCCATAAGAAGTTTCTTACCCTCTGCAATTGTCACTTTATACATCAATAGCATACCTCTGGTCAAGTATGTATAAATTGGACTTTTACTACTATAAAAAAAATGCCAATTATATATAAATTATAAAGACAATTTCTAGTTTGTGACTTCCTCATACTAACATTGGCATTAAAATAATTCCAATTCTAATTCATATTTTCACACTTTGCCATGTGAGTTGTAATCTTAACACTTACATTAATATGTGTAAATGTCTGACAAATGCTGTTTTTATATTTAAGGTAAATTGCCCTTTGAGTTATGCCAGCGTTTTGTGGAGGGGATTGTCCTTGTGAGCGATGACGAGATCAAATCAGCAGTGTCCACCCTCTACAAAGCAGGGCTGGTGGTGGAGCCTTCTGGATCGGCTGCATTTGCTGCTGTTGTCAATAATAAAATTGCAAATCTGGAAGGAAAGAAAGTGGTCTGTATTCTCAGTGGAGGCAACATTGGGAAAGATGAACTCATGAATTTCCCAGACTGAGAGAAGCACAAGACTGCTGAATAAAGACTGAATATCTTCAGATGTTTTTTTAATCAACACACTTTATTTTTCAAACCACATAAAAAAGCAATATTAAACAATTCAATTTTTTTGAAAACCTTACAGTAGTTACAGAACATCTTTAATGGACATTCTGCACACAATCGCATCCAACAGTGTCCCAATTTTTTCCTCCTGTGGGCTTATTTTAAAGAACTGCAAGACAAGACACAAAGTTAGTATTAATGATACAGGGGGAAAGAAACAGAATATTGAAAACATTTATGGAGCTGGGTGAAAATTGAAACGTAATAACAAAATCATACCTTTTTGACTTTAGTTGCGTCTGAGAGTGAAGATAGATCCTGAACTGGAACCTGCTCTCCATTAACTTGGCTCACGATGTCTGACAAAGATGGAGTGTCATTCTGCTTATGAACCAAAACTATTAAAACGGAGCAGTCTCCATCAGAAATACCAAACCTCTTGAAGGCCTCTGAGATCTGCACAAGACGATGCAATACATTAGAATGAAATATATTCTACATTTAATATCACATATTGTTAACCTACATTATTAGTTGGTGAAAGATTGAATATGATTTCTGAATATAGACTTCTTGTCTTCATTTTACCAATATTTTGTAAATGCACTGCTTTATTTACTGCTACCAACACTTGAAAGGGGCTCACCACCTGTAAAAGATAAGGTTTTTTTGATTTTTAGTTTGTTTTACACAATATGGTGTATTCGTGGTACCACAGCAGTCGATTTACAGTAATTATATGTAAATAAGAACAACAGTTTATTACAGTCATACTTATTTACCCAGAATTGTCATATATTTTACATAAAGTTGTCAGGGATTTACCAGTGTTGGACTGATCAATGCTCCATTGAATTTCCCCTCTACGGCCCTTTGCCTGAGTTGGGCAGCGTTTTTAACATCCTTGAACAGCATCTGTGTAATCTGAAAGTCCGGATACAGCTCTAACTCTTGTTTCAAATTCATTTTCGATAGTTTGACCGAGCAAATGACACCTTTTCACGACAGCGCTTGTTCACGTGAACGCCTGCAAAGGGGGAACCATAACACAGTGACACTAACAACCAACAAATATAAAAAATAATGAACAGCGCTGCAAAGAAAAATAAACTTAACATTAAGCAGCAATTCTCGATAACGCTGCCTTTAAGAGAAAATTAAAAAGGTACAAGGAAAACCTTTATTGTTGCTTAGGAACCTCTATAAGTGTATGCTGTTCCGGGTAGAGCAATTAAGCGAAGCGCACCACCAGCTGTCAAACAATTCTCGCAACATCGTCATTCAGCCCATTGATGGTTGCCTTACAAAAGACAACAAATTGACGTAGTATTGTCGGTTTGAACCCTGTAGTGATGCGTTTCAAGCGTGATAATAGCTAGTCTATATGTATTTCACATGCAGTGACGGGTTAGCTAAAACCATGGAGAAATTTGAAGGCTACATTTTCACAGCTCTTTGCAGCACCAACTTTTTCATCTCTTGCCTCGTCTTCTCCCGAGTCACCCGGGAGCAGAGAGAGCCCTACATGGATGAGGTATTTCACGTTCCACAGGCTCAGAAATACTGCCAAGGGAAATTTGACGAGGTAAACTTTCCGATTTTTCAATGATGGAACACTGTACATTGTTGGATGGGGATTAGCAAACAGCAGCTCTTAATGATGGCACAAAGCTCCTTTTAATCTCGCATAATTGAACAGTGTTAGCTGGAATTCAGCCGTGTTTTGTCTGCTGTTTGTTATAGTAATGTATACATACATAAAAATGATTTGTTAATAGTTCATAACTTAATGAATTGCTTGACATAATAAAACTAGGGCTGGGACTTGATTGAAAAAAATAATCTAATTAGAGGCTTTGTAATTATTTAATCTTGATTAATCACATTTTAATCGCATATAAATATTTGACCTGAGAACAGTGAGTATTTTTTTCAGATGGATTTTTAATTTATCATTGAATAATGACTGAATGGTAATACATAAGCTTAAGTAGCGAAAAGTTTAATTTTGTTCAAGTCCACCAGACCAGTGCAAATTAATTTCAATGCAACTCTCTCAATAACCTTGACCAAAACAAACAGTTCAACCTAAAGTACCAGTTGCACAACATAATACAACATGGTAAAACATAGTTCAACATAACATGTACCATTTAAAATAAATGTTAAAAAAACAGTACCAGTGATTGACCTCAATCCCTTCTATTCTCCCAATAACCTGATGAAAAAATAAATCTCTGTTGCTTAGGCCACTGATTGATCAACATTTCAGTCACAACAAGCCCATTGGCCTCAGGATACCTCCATGACTACTACTTCTACTTCTCTTTCAGCCAGTTGCTGAGACAAAATAGCTTGTTCACATTTTCAGAGCTCAAGGCTGTCCTTTTCTTTTGAACTATGTGACCTACCAATGAGAAAAGTCTTTCGCAAGGGACAGAAGTGGCAGGGCTGCCCAGATACTTGCGGGCCAGGGCAGAAAGCTGTGGATGGGCTCCCTCATGAGTGGACCACCACTGCAGTGGGCAACCCATCTCACTGATGGTGGGCTCTGCCCTGTAGCGGGTCAGAGCACCGCTGAGCCCCTCTTCACCCTCATCCTCTGATTCAGAGTCTGAATGAAACCGCAGGAGGCTCCTCTTCCTTGCTGGCTCCTCTGTGGGTTCTGGAATAGCTATGTCTGGATCTTTTCGCAGCAGTGCCTCAATGCTGGTCCACACCTGTCCTCGCTCTCCTCTTGGTAGACACTTTAGGTCCTTTAGAATTAGAATCAGGTTTATTGTCACATCATAGATTTACAGAGTAAAAAGATGGGTGAAATTCATTTTCATACATGGTTCCCATAGAAAGAAAGAGGGAGGAGGGTAAAGGGGGTCAAAAAGCAAGAGAAAAGAAAAACAAAGAACATTACACATGTTACCTTAAAGCGTGGGTCGAGTGCTGTAGCCACCCTGAGCCATTCATGGTTGAGTGTATCTTGGCATTCAGACAGGTCCTTTTTAAAGGCACCCTTGAACCTCACCACATAGTCTGGGTCGTCATCAGAGACTTTCATGGTGTGGGTCAGGTGGCTGAGAGCAGGTATCACAACAGAGCATGAGACATAAGTCTCACCCCCAAGGAGCTCAGTCACAAATCTGCAGAGGAAAGTGATTAATTGTTGTGCCAATTAATAGATTAAAAACAGTAGCAACTTTATACTATAGTCATAATGATATTTAAATTCAGTACAATACATTTAAAACAGTTGGTGGATTTATACCTGCATGGTAGAAGGAGGGTCTGGAGCCTCTGCAGTCTGTCCCACTCTGCTGTAGTTAACATGGTGAGCTTGTGCTTCTGTTTGGCTAGAGTAACCTTCACAGCCTCTTGGTTTTTTAGCAGACGAGAGATCATAAACAGTGTTGAATTCCACATTGTGGAAACATCCTGTATCAGTGGCTCTTTGTCTTGTTCTAGTCGTGCTTGCTCCTTGTGCAGTTCATCTGTGTTTGAGGGGCTATGTTTAAAATGCCCCACTATTTTACGACATTTTGCCAATGTGTCTGTGAACCCGCAGTCAGCCAGGCAAACTGTGAGGGTCCTCTGCAACACGTGAGCAACACACGGAATGTGCTGGAATGTGAGCTGTCTCATTGCAGAGACCATGGTTCGGGCACTGTCTGTTCCGATTGTGGTGACTTTTTGTCTGATTTCCCAGGCCTCTGCCACAGACTCAAAATCTTCTGCCACGTTTTCAGCAAAGTGCCTTGTGATGGTCTTCTGCATGGTTAAGGCAAATGCGTGAAGATGCCACTTCATGTCAATAAAGTGTGCCGTCACACCGACATAATTTGAGTTGCTTAACGAGGTCCAATGATCCCCAGTCAGGGCAACCCACCTAGCTTTCTCCAACAATAAATCCTCCTTGTCTTTCTTTTCATTGTCATAAAGCTGCTGGACTCTTTTTGTCACTGTCTCTCTGCATGGCAGCTCGTATGTTTTGTCAGACGACGCAATCTGCAGTACCCTTTGCAGCCCCTTATCTTCTACCACTCCAAGTGGTCTACAGTCGAGTGCAACCCAGTGAGCCAGGGCGTTGGTTATTTTCTCAGACGTGGACTTAGTTACCCTCGTCCTAAAAGCAGTCAACTGGTTGAGTTCGGGTTGTGTGTGGGTTGTACCCGTAATCAGGCTAACGTCCACGCTAGCTGCTGTATGTTTTGCAGTGAGGTGATACCTAAGGCTGGATGTGCTGCGGTGATATGCAAACTCTTTGTAGCATAGCGTGCACACAACAATACTCTTATCAGCGCTGCCATCCGTTCTTTGCTTGAAATAAAATTTCCCATCCAATGGGCCAGCCAATGCGGTCAAAACAGCCTCTTTGTTCATGTTGTTTGTATATAGTGGTTGCTATCCACGTTAATTTGTGCTCTAGTATAATCGGTCCGTCTGATACTACTCCAGTGAGAAACGTTCCGCGATTAATTCAGTGGGGGCGGGTCCCCAAAGCTCCGTTTTACACACCGTTCCACATGTTTTTTTTTTACAGTCTATGGATTAAATGCGTTAATTTTTTAACACGCAATATTTTCTATAGTTGATTAATCGTAATTAATGCGTTAAAGTCCTGGCCCTAAATAAAACAAATGCGCTGAAGGCGTACAACTAAAACGGATTGAAATATTCTTCTTAAAAATAGGATGTTAAAAAATCACTTACAGCTTATTCTTGCATTGCATTTGAGCCACTTATATAACTGTGTCACATTAAAGTTTGGGTGCCCAAGTTTTCCAACCAAAAATTGAACTACAATACTTCAATGAAATGCATCGAGCTCCTCACTTTCTCTAAACAATTCAGTTCTTGGCCTCTCACACAACTCCTCTTTTTCAGACAGATCAATGAAAGAGTCTTCTTTTTCATTTATCATCATGAAATGCCTCCCATCAGCTCTCAGCCCAAATCTGAGAGCTGATGGAGGCATTTGAGTGACTCACAGGGATCTTTCTTAAGAATATGAAAAGATCTTTGCTAAAAGACATCATGTTGGGGTCATTTTTTTCCACAAAGGTTTACCTTTACCACAGTCTGTTGGGACAAACAAAATGTAAAACAAAGTTTCATGCCCCAGCTTTCACAATGTTTATTTCTATTTTATCTTTGCAGTGGGACCCTATGATCACAACCCTTCCTGGCCTGTATCTCGCCACGGTGGGGGTGATAAAGCCGATTGTGTGGTTGGCCGATCTGAGTGGGAGTGTGGTCTGCTCCACTGCCATGCTGCGATTTATCAACCTTCTCTTCAACTCTGGCAACTTGTACCTGCTCCATCTGCTCATCTGCAAACTGCACCAACGAGAGAAGGTACTATCGTCACAGGCAGCTAAACCCACCATCAGTGACCTGCAAATTCTTAGAAATAATCCAAAAAAAGTCTTTGTGATACGTTCATCAGGGTCCAGTTGTCCTCGGCCATGACACTTCACCCACATTGTCTAGAATTAGTCTGGTTTGTGTGTGTAAATAGTTGGTGGTGGTTAGAGGAGCTGATGGCCCCTCTAACCACTACTACTGTAGCCACAGCTGCGGTAATTTATCACCACCTTGTATATAGTGAAAGAATAATGACATGTGAAGTGTCTTTGAGTGTCCAGAACTATGTAAAAACACAATATAAAACTGATGCACTATTATTATTGTAGCATCATAAAGCACTACATTTTAAACAGAAAAAACACTACTTGCGATGTTGCTATAAACCACTAAATATAAACAAAGCATTGTAGACATGTGTTTAATAGCTTTACATCTCCTCTCTCCCCAGACTCGTACAGCCTCACAACGGATCCTGTCGGCTCTCTCCCTCTCCACCTTCCCATTGCTGTACTTCTTCAACTTCTTGTACTACACAGACGCCGGCTCTACTTTCTTCATCCTCTTCACATACCTCATGACTCTGTATGGCTGCCACAAGGCCTCAGCACTCTTGGGCGTATGTGCCATACTCTTCCGCCAAACCAACATAATCTGGGTGGCTTTCTGCGCCGGATCGGTGGTTGCTGCCAAAATGGACGAAACCTGGAGAGCGGATCAGACCAAGAAGAAAGACGAGCACAAATCACAAGTTCCGCTGAATATAAGTGGAGTGAAAAAAGTTCTGGGTTTCACATTTGAGTTTGTGACCAGCCCTGTGCATATTAAGTCAGTGTTGCTAATAGTCTGGCCCTATGTCCTTGTAGCAGTGGGTTTTGTCTTGTTTATAATCCTTAATGATGGCATAGTCGTGGGTGATAGAAACAGTCACGAAGCTTGCTTAAACTTCCCCCAGCTCTTGTACTTCTTCTCCTTCGCCTTGTTCTTTGCCCTTCCCCTCACTGTTTGCTACTATCGTGTTATGCGATTTCTTCAAGCTCTGAAAAGGCAGCCATTTTTCTATTTGGTGGTGACCGCTCTAATTTTGTTTCTTGTTTGGAAGTTTACCTTTGTCCACAAGTACCTTCTGGCTGACAATAGACACTATCCGTTCTACGTCTGGAAAAAAATCTTCCAAAGGCACGAATTGGTCAGATATCTTCTTGTTCCTGCTTATGTCTTTGCTTGCTGGAGCTTTTTGGACTCTATAAGGTACAGGTCACTGTTTTGGATATTGGTGTTAGTGGTGTGTATTGCGGCCTCTACTGTTCCCCAAAAACTACTTGAATTTAGATATTTTATCATTCCATATATGATGTACCGCTTGCACATGCCACTCCCATCTCTGCCGAGGCTGATTATAGAGTTTATTCTGTACACTGCAGTGAATGTGGCGACCATTTATATATTTATTAGTAAGACTTTTCAATGGCCGGACGTCGCTGCCAAACAGAGGTTCATGTGGTGAATGTAAAGTGCTGGGAACTCATTCAAAATATTTACAGATGAGGGAAATGCGGTGGAGCTCATTTTAATTTTAAAACTATAACAATTCATCCATGTTTTATTATGCCAACCAGCCGCAATGATTAAGAGGACATGACTAATGCATTGTTTCTCAGTATGCATGAATGAACTTGACTGTAAATATTTCATTAAGTGTCTTAACATTGTTCAACACTTTCTGAAATTCACTGTGTTTAAGAATACCGTTGCGTTGTAAAATAATGGCTGTGCTAGAAATTGTAAAGCCGAACCACCAAATGAGAAGTCATAGCCATATTGTAAATTTTATAATGTGATCTGATGTCAACTTTGTTTCTACCGGCAACACTGCTTCGTGTCTATACTTACTCTTGACCTCCGTCCTGACTGTTTTGATAATTGTGATTGTTCTTTGTAACGCTAAAATCAAAAATTTTTGATGTTCATTCCAAACAGATTGTCTGCACTTAAATCAGTGTATTTTCTTTCCCTGTACTTGTTGTATTTTTGGTTTGTGTGGCACATATGGGTTCTATTTTCTATATAAACATGTTGATCTAGTGTTAAGTGGCCGGTTTTCTTTCCTGCAATAAAAATAAATGTTTGATTTCCTATATAATCACCTTTATCATTCCTTTCAATCTGATCCACTATTTATAAAACAAACGGTTCCAAAAGTGCTGCGCAGAAACAAGATAAACGATAAATATATAAAATGTTTTTAAAATGGCTATAATTATTATATATATGCTTGTTAACACAAAATGTGCCTTTTTGCGATCAACTTATCAGCCACTAGGAGGAGCTCTTAATCTATAAATTCAACGGTGCAGTTTCTCGACCAGCTAGAATCAAAATCTTCCATTATTTTTTTACGAAATTGCAAAACGATGTCAATTTTCAAATGCATTTTATTAAAGTCTATTCACACTTATTGTTGATTAATGAAGAGACACACTTGATTTTCATGTAAGTAAGTCATCTTTATTTATATACTGCCTTTCACAGACCAGAGTCACAAAGCGGTTTACAATTGTTATTTTTGGGGACTTGTCCTCTCACTCCACACAGAGATGTGAACTAGAATTCACTGAAGCAATAATTTTTTTTGGAGTCGACATGTGACTGCTGTAAGAGTACATTTGTTTGATGGTTTCACATCTCCACAAATTAAACTGCTTCACTTGGGACTTGAAGTTTAAAAATTACATTTAAAATAAAAAAAAACATCAATCAACTAAATTTTACAGTATTTAAACTTTGAATGTTATACTGTTTGTTTGTTTTAATGAGGTTTGTTATTATAAAATATTGAGTCCATGGCTCGGAGTCTCACCTGCAGTTATTTAACAATGAAACAAAATGAAAGACTATTAAACACAAAAATAATTGAAATACCAACAACAAATTAGGATAGGATTTAAAAAAATAACGTTTGTACTAGTTAACACAGGTAAACAGGTGTTTGTGCTTAGACTACAACACTGTCAGAGTAGAAGTAAACATTTTCAGGAAGACTGTTCTAGTTTTTAGCTGCATAAAACGGAAATGCTTGTCTCCCGTAGTCTCACTTACTGGGACTATGAATGTGACCAAATGAGTTCAGGGTTCCCCCCTAAACATTTCCTATTGCATTGATCTGTGCTACTTTGCTGACAAAAAGTATTTGTCGAGATTGTGAACCCTTATCCCCAGGCTTTGGTGTGTCAGATTTATTTAATTACTGCACTTTTTTTTTCATTGCTTCCTCGTGTGATGACATGACTTTCACAAAAACAATTTCTCCCTGTGTGTTTTCAGCTCTTTCTGCGTGTGCAATCGGATGCTTCGAGCAATTAATTTGTAAGCTGCATTTGTTTTTCTCAGCCATTGACAGCATCAGAGATAGGAGGAAGAAACATGTCTTCAAATGCAATCAGTGCTTATTGCTAATCATTACACCGTTATGCAAGTTTAAGGAGAAAAAACTCAGACAATGAGTTTGAAAATCAGGGCTTCAACACAAAAGCTTTTTAAGATTTGGAGGCTACATATTCTTGCTGCTATTCATAGTCATAATTGAAAAACAGGACACATATACTTTGAAGTTTACCAAATAAAATGTTGCTCCTACTTTCTTTTCTAATGCATTGGATATAAAGTGAGTGGATAAATCTTTCCGATTTGGACAGTTTTGAAGATAAGGACCTACTACATTTAATGTTCTCGTCAGCTTGAAACGAAGCCAGACTATTAGCCTATAAGTACTTGTGGCAAGGGTCTTTGAGAACAACTGCAATCGCAATTTAATTTTAGCAATTGAAAGCATTATACAGTACTTATTCGAATGGTGGCACAAAAAGGCTAAAAGGAAAAACTAAATTGGCTATATTCACAGGAAAAATAAATTATTATGTGACATATATAGCCATGATTGGCCTAACAATGACTCAATTGTATAGAAATAATCACCATTATTTCAGAGTAAAGGAACACTTTTTGTACGTACAGTATTTGCCCATGGCGACCATGATAAAAGTAAATTTGTAGCCCATGTCACTAGATTGGTCGAACAGACTGAGGAGCACCTCCATCCATTTGGACCGCTCAGAGCAGCAGCCATTTTTACATTTACACTCTTACACAGCTCTACTGAGGTTTTATCTGCTAGACCTAAATCTGTGGTTACAATAGATTTCATAATAGACTCCAATCATGTTTGTTATCACAAAATGCCTGTAGGCTACAAAAAAAGTACTATACTTCAAGATGACTAAAATGTTCCAAACCATGTTCAAATGTGGTGGATCTGGGCTCGAGCTGCCAAACATCGACCTCTTCTCACTTCACAGTCTACAAAACGTTCTTTGTTTAAGCAACTGTGCCAGTATAAATGAGCGGACAGATATTCTGCTGAGGCCTGAGTACAGACGGTTCAGTGAGAGCTTCAGACGTCTTAATCCAAAAACAAAACTGAACTCGGTCAACATTTCACATCGCAGTGATCCTCTTTTACAAATTAAAGCAGGCATTATATAAGGGAAATCATAAAAACCATTTGAGTTAATGCAATAAACTGTGTTTCGGGTGTTTCACAGCAACATTGTACTGTAACATACTGGGTTCGATGCTACCTCCAGGCATTTCTATGTGTAGATTGCATGTTCTCCCTGTGTCTGTGTGTTTCCTCTGGGTGCTCTGGTTTTCCCTACCACTAAAAACTAAATAGGTTTGAATGTAAGGAGTGAGTGAAAGGATGGTGTTGATGTGCCGGTGTGTTTGGCGTCTCCCTTCCGTCATCACTGTGTGTGGAGTGAATGGGAAAATATCTAAACTCTGATCATAGTACTTTGAGTGACCTTGGTCTGTAAAATGCGCTATATAAATAAACTTTACTTACTACCTACATAATACCATATACTGTGATTATTTTTTTCTGTGAGGTCAGCAAGTAAAAAAGAAAGACAAAATACTACTGTTCCCTTTCCCGGTGAAGAAAAACAGAATATTTTCACTTCCTGAAGGCAAGGCGGAAGAGAAAATACCCCATGAACAAGCAGGACTTAAGATCCTGGCAACAGATCCAGCCAGTTTGCTCGGTATCGCTCCTGGCCCTGGGGGAATATGGAACGTAAGAGCCGGGTTATCGGACGGAATCTCAGGCCATGGCCGGGCGTTATCAGGGATGAAACAAGTGCCTGGTGATGTCTATAGTTGCATCTGGATTATAGGGTTAGAAAATGGTCCAAATTCAAGGATAATAAGGAATCGAGGCTATAATCCAAAAAAAAATAGCCTCTACCTCCTTGAACCCGATTAGACTCCTATGAGCTAAGGGAGGTAGAGCTAAATTTGAACAATCCAGAGGCCTTCCAGACTTCAGGCTGTTTTGGACATACAAAAATGTTCATCCAAGTATTAAGAAGTGAACATTTGATTGTTTGTCCCAATACTTTTGCATCCTAACATGAGAATCTCTCCCACACCATTCCAACCATTCCTGAATTCCCTCTGATTTGGTGTAACATCACATATTATTTACTCAATTTTGATTTGTTGCATATACACTAAAAAACATCTGTCCAAATATTAATGGACTTCAAAATGAAAAAAACTGAAAACCTCTGAACCTCAAACTGCATGGGCCAGAGCTGGTGATCATTAGCCCTAATCGCTTTTTTATTTAGATTTTTGTCACTTGGTTGTAAAAAGCCATTATAAGTAATGTTAATAACATAATGAAATGGAATAATTTGTTCTCCATCTGTGTTGCATTTATTTGCAATTACACTGATTGAGTATGCATTTAACACAAATGCTCCCACTCAAGGCTAAAAGCTCTTCTCCAGTGCCATGTTCAGGGGTAAAAGGGGGCTGAAATATTACCATGCTAATATGATGATATTGAAATGAGC